GTCGAAGCTAATTTCGCAGACGATGAGTGCTTCTGCGACTACAGCGCGGCGTCGGCATGGATCTTGCAACGGAAATTCGCCCCGCTGTCGAGACCGATCGCCCCTTCCCCCCCCCGTGCGCAGCCGCCCGTCTCCTCCCGAACTTATCCGCCCGACGCATGGTGGCAAGGATGGCGATGGTGGCAGCTTCTTCTCGGATGGGTCATCGTCTTGCGGACAAAAGTCGGGCGGGTAGCCTTTTGTCCGGGCAGCGCGAGAACAGGCCGCAATCTGGCACGTCGCGTCGAGGAGCCGATTCCGAGGGGCGATATTCGGCATCGCCATGCATGGATGCGAAAATCTCGTTGGCGCTTCTTCAGGCGCCCGAGCAGCGCGCCCGCTCGCTTTCGATCGCCAAAACCTCCGCGTCGGATAGAACTGCGCAGCGTCCCTGACTGTCGCGCGCGCCACCAAACCTGTTTCCGTGTTTGGGGCGCCGTGGCGCGGCGGGGTGGCGCGGACTCCGCGATGGGCGATCGATTGGGCACATGGGGCAAAGGTTTTGTCACGCTGGGACAACCGCAGGTGCGTTGAGCCCCTCTGTCGGCGAGGAGCTCGCGCGTCTTGGCGCGCGCATCAGTCCATCGATCAGGTCGACGGTTGGATGTCTTCCGGATTGGCCCGCGGCGGCGCCCCAAATAACGCGCTCCAAAGAACGCCAGGGGCGAAAGGCGGCTTCCAGCCAGCCTCTCCACGCGCCAGCGCACGTCGCTCTCTGGCGCCTCCACGCGCGGGTCACTTTGGACTCCAGAACGAAAATGGCCCCTGCCGTCGTCAGTGGAGGTCAGTCAAGCAATGTGGGGCAGTGCTAGATCCGGCCAGATCACTCCGACGCCCAAGCCCGGGCCATGCAATCCTGGCTCTGCTGGGCCCTGCAAGGCCCTGCGCTTTGATTGGCCCCCGATCGCATTGACCCCGTCTCTTCGGCCCCGATGTCGCGCGCGCGGCCCTCGCCCGCGCGGCCGGGCCAGCCCCGATATGAGCTCGCCGGTTCCGCGCCGCAGAAACAATCGCGCAAGTCTGACTCTGGTACGCCACCGCCAGGTCGCAAGCAGACAGACCCACGATCGTTGGCGGCGGCCGCAAACAGCGCCCACACAACTCGCGTCAGAGCACGAGTTATGCCAAATGCATCTGGGTAGCAAGCACGGCGCGCGCCTCGGGCGCCAGGTTGGGCTCGCGCTCGACGCCCCAGTCGGAGTCGCCGCGCGCGAGGCCGCGCGCGGAGGGGCAGAGCCAGCCCTCTGATGGCGTCTCCGAAATTCTCGTCGACGCCGCGCAGATAGTCCGCGCGCGTCGCGGCGGCCATCGCCGCATCGGCGAGCCTGGCCAGCCAGAACCAAATTGCGCGAACGGCATCACAGGAAAAGTCTTGCTGTGGGGCGCCGACGCATTCCAGATCGTCGTTCCCCAAATGTTCCGAGCCAAGACGCACGGAAACGCATTCCTCCCCCTTGCCCTTCGCGCGAGGCGCATCGGACAATCTGTCGCGACCGCATGCGTTAAACGAGGAAACCTGGCGAGTTTGATCCATGGGGCTGAGCTTTTGGACCCTTGCCATTCCCATGGGTGTCTCAACGACCTTTGCGTTGTTTTGGGTGTGGATTCTCAAAGTTGCGATCAGTGAGATTCGCTAGGCGTTGGGAATGCCCCGCCCATGTAACCTGCGAGCGCGCTTGCCGTCCTTGCCGCCCCCATTGCCCTTCCGATGCAATGCCCGTCGTACCGCTCGTAAGAAAATCCGGACTAGCTCTTTTCCAGGTGCAACCTCACACGGCTCTTAGCATGATGCTAGCTTGGGCGCAGGTGCTGTGCTGCTTGATCGTCGCCCGAAGATAGATCTGACCAGTCGATCTCAGCAGTGCCGGTGGACCAACAGGTGGACGCGTCGGCTCCTGACCCGAAGGGTGAGTCAAGGCGTTGGCCTGACGAGCCCCAAAGGTTAGTCGAAATTGAGGGTGGGCTCCTGGCTGCAGCTGCGGGCGACCAGTTGTCGGTGGGATCGGCTGCTTGCGCGTAGCCAATTACCTTGCCCACGGGCGTTGTGGATACGTTTGGCTCGCGTCAGCGCGAAGCGCACAGGCTGCTCGACCACTGAGGACCCCGCTAATGTTTCCAGAAGCGAGCTCAGCCGAGTGTCCGTAGCTGCGCATTCGCTCCAAAAGTGGGTCGCATTTTTGCTGGGTTCGGGGCATCTGGTGGTTGAGAAGATGTAATAGCTGTGAGGCTCGGGAGGTGCCTCCTCCCATGGCTCGAAACAGCAAGAGCGTCAATATCTGAAACTTCGGGATATTGAATGCAACCGGATCCGTTTCCAATTTGGCCTGTTTGAATCGAGTGGATACCGAATCGATGCGTACTTCTCGATCGCCCCTGAAGTCGACCGGGATGGTTCCTGATGCGATCTGTCGTTCGTCCTCGAGGTTTTCGAACCGTCGGCACGTTGACCATACAATGTAAACCGGAGCTTGATGATCGAGCAGGGTACTCTCATAGCCAGGGTCCTGGCTAGGCCTCCAAGACATCGCTGACAACCAGCAGTCTGTTGCGGTGGAATCACAACTCTACTTGTTACGTTGACATACGCGAATACTTCGCGAACCACCTCGCAGAAACGGTACGTTGCCAGCGTGGTCCAAGAGGGGCCCTGGTACGCGGTCGTCCGGTCAACGTTGCCGGGACCCTATTGCTAGACCGAGACACCCGTATGATACCAAATACATTGCCCTTGGTGTTGTGCGTGGGAATGTTGGTGTTGATTGTAGGCTGACGTGGCCGTCAGCTTGTCGTGACTGTGGGCCGACATGGCCGTCAGCTTGCGGATAGGTATATTCTGGCGCGTTGCACCTGGCGGCGCTGTGATAGGTTGCCGGTCGAGGAGATGGAGTAAGACAATAAATTGCCAATTGGATTATGGCGACGCCAAGTCGAAACGGGCATGTGAAGCCGTACCGAACATTGCGCCTAAGGCGTGCGATAGTCTCCCATAGCTAATGGGATCGAAGGGTGCACCATCGAAAGATCTCGACAGACTCCTGTTCCGTTCCTCAGGTGTGACAGTACCTCGAGAACGAGGTAGTCGTATTCTAGTGGCGCGCCGCTTGAGAAACAAACGGTGGCGGACGTAGGCAGGGTCGATGCTGATCTTCAACCTCCGTTTAGAGTAAAATAGCTCAAGGTGGCCTCCAGGATGGTACAATATCGGCCGATACGAATGTGATCCAGCATACCTCCAAGAGGCCAGCGGACTCAAACCGCTCCAGGAGGCCACGGAGCGTGATTCTTCAGACTGCTTGGGCTTCTCGCCTTTTTGCTTCTGACGGGTCTCTGAAGCCTCAAAATGGCGCCAAGATCGCCCTAGAGAGCCTCGCGGTGGGTCCAAACACGGCCCCAAGAGCGCCCTGGGGGACAAAAGAAGCAATAGTCCGTGCTCTGACGCGGCAAAAGGCTGCTTAGGGAACCCCCGTCTTGGATCAACGCCCTCAAAGAGGACCCCAGGAGGGCCTCCACGGCCCCCGAAAGGGCACCGGCAGCTCTCACAACTACCATACGAACACTCCAAGAGAAAGATCCGCGGCTGTCGTCAGGGTTGACTCCCGATGTCGTCGTCATCCTCCTCCTCGCTTCTGTCGTCGTCGCCGTCGTTCCTCCTCCATATCAATTATCGTGCTCTTGCTCCTCCTTATAATCCTCCTCCCACTTTCAACGATATGTTCATCCTCCTCTCCCTCCTCGCCCACGTCCTCTCCCTCCTCATTATTCGACGACTGGCTCGCTGACTCAGCAAATCCACTTCTGGGTATGCTCATGCTGATTCTGAGCTTGGGCTTGACGGCTGGCTCACCTGTATGTTCCAATGGATGCTCCGCAGAGCCCTGGTCAGGACGACTCGCATGGCGATCGTTTTTGGATGTGCTGGTGGGGATACGCGAAGCATCGTTCATATGTGCTTTAATTGCGTTCAGGCATCTGGATTCCAAAACTGCGTTAGTAAGCCTCATGACCATCAATGGGCGAATGACCAGTGCATGCTCGATACCGTGGACCTGAATTCAATCGACGTACCTGCGCTCTAACGAGAGACCTCGGACGGCAACACCGAAGACGGGGCTGAGGTGGGCGCGGCCCGCCATGGAAGACAGACAAAGTCGCACCACATGCTGTGCGACGAATCTGTTCGAACGCTCTCGGATCCAATACTACTGGGAATGCGTGGCCAACATCTCCTATGCACCCCATCAACCCGTCTGGTCGTATGTGGTTGCCGTTGCATCCATGTTTCCCTGTTCTTCCCCTTCGGACGACCCCTCTCCATACACCCTCCCGCCAGGTCTGGATCTGGGTTCTCGCGAAGGGCTACAAGATAGCGCCGAATTGGTTAAGGTGGCCTCCGAAATTGAACATATACCCCACCGGTAGTCCGACGGTGACGCCAAGACGGGCGCCAAGACGGGACGCCGCCGAATTGAACACACACCCCTCCGAATTGATGGCGCCAAGACGGGCCGAGCCCATGGTAGTCCCAAGAGGGCCTCGAATGCTCCAGCAAAGCCCCATGAGATCCGCAAGATGGCTTCAATATCCCTCCAAGACGCTCCGAGTGGCCCCCACCATTCAAATTGGCGGGGATGGTCGAGCTGATGCCAACTTTGGCCGCTCTGTCGACCCCCTATGTCATACGTTACCCTGGCGCATCGCATGGGAATCGTTTCTGGATGTACTGAGAAGCATACGCGACAAGTCAACGAATTACGCGGCCCAAAGATCTTGGGACAAAATGGCCTCGTGGGGGATGCTGCACTACACCTGATAAGATGGGACTGCACCGCCAAATTAAACACGTAAACATCAATCGAGAATGCCGCTCAAAAACGAACATGTTCGAGGTGGAGGAGGAAACGGAAACGAGGGACACAATGAGGATACTGCATAATGCATCCCTGCGGAACAGGCGCGCAGTCCTTCTGACCCACCTCGAGCGTCGCTCTGTCGCCCTTGCTGTTGCTCTTGAAGGTTTCGACCACCTCTACGGCGGCGCCCACCTCGATATTGGCGCTCGAGGGGCTTGTTAAGAAGAAGAGAGGGGATGCAAGCCAGGTGCGCTGGCGCCATATCTGACATCCTACCCCTCCCACCCATCCCTTCCGATTGCGCTGAGCTGTTGGAATACAGCGGGATGTCCCAGAAGACCTTGATCCCCGAAATGGCCCCAACGTTTGGTGCCCGATCAGAAAGAGGGGTAATTACATTGGAGAAGGTGGCGGACGAAGAGGAACAATATGGCCATGACGGAAATGGACTGGCAGCTAGAACAAGAATTCGCCGGCCCAGCGGGCCAGAGGCGTGCTAAGATCCCTGGTAACAGGTTAACAATATTTTTTGTTCGCGCGCGAGGCGGCTTCTAGGGACCCTTGGACGAAAAATACCCCAACCGATGCCCGGGACGCGCCCGGGTGACTCCCCCAAGGCGCTCCAAGAGCGCGCCAAGAGCGCGCCGGGACTTCCCCTACACGGCCCAAGAAATCCCGAGTCGCCGAAAGATCGCTCCAAGACGCTCAAGATGATGTCCAGAAAGCCCCAAAGGACGCGAAAAAAACACAAGACAGCTTCATAGGCTCTCCAAAGAGGGCCCCAACAAGCAAAAATTGTGTCATTTCCGTTGGAAACCGTCAAATTTCCGCATGTGCGACGTTTTGGGGTTCATAGCGTCCAGAACTGCCCCAGAGGCCTCCAACATCGTCCCCAGACGGCCCAACACGCCCTCATGATGGGCTAAGAGAAACCAAGAGGGCCCCAAGACGGCCCAAGAGAGCACCAAGACGGCCCAAGAGGCGCCCAAGATCGCCCAAGAGGATCCCAAGATGGCTCCAAGAGGGGCCAGAGACGCCCCCAACTCGCCCCAAGCCGCCCAAAATTGCCTCAAGACGGCCCAAGAGGCCGCCAAGACGGCTCAAGAGGCTTCCACGAGGCGTCACATGAGGTCTCCACGAGGCACACATGTGGGTCTTCCTCCGTTGTTTGTTTTGTTTTGTATTGAATGTTCAGCCTTCTCGCCTTTTCGGCTTTCCGACACTCCAAGACGGCCCAGGAGGCCTCCAAGACCACCCCAGACTAGCTAAAGACGCCCCCAAAATGGCCCCACGATGGCCCAAAACGGCTCCAAAACGGCCCAAAAGGCTGCCACAGGGACCCCCAAACGCCCCACAACGGCCCTAAGAGGGGCCGGAGACGCATCAAAATCGCCCCAAACCGCCCCGAATGGCCTCATGACGGCCCAAGAAGCCGCCAACACGGCCCAAGAGGCTTCCAAGATGTCTCCCAACAAGTCCCCAAAAACAGAAATCATCGAGTCTCCCAAAGTTAGTGAAGGTTTCCAAGACGCCCCAAAACAGCGCCAGAGGCGCCCAAGATCGCGCGCGCATGCTCAGAGGAAGGAAAGTACTGGTCACAGTGACGGAATGCGTGGGGGAGAACGATGTTGTTGTATGTTACCAGTACAACACGCACTGTGCAACCACAAACATATTGCAGTTTCGAGGGCACGGCAGGCTGTGACAATATTGGGTTGGGGTACGCTGTTCGCCAGGAGCTTCGCTTAACGCAGAGCGTCTTCTCCCCGGATTCACAAGGCAATGTGGGATCAACAATTGGGCATAATCCAAGCCTGCAACACTGCAAAACGTGCGGACGTAGGTAATCCACTAAATTCTCCAACTTTGCGAGTGTAGGTCCAGGTTCAACCATCAACTCAATATGTCTAACCACAGCTATCTGAACTAAATGGAAAAAGCGCACATGTTATTCAGATAAAGCGGCACATTCCACAACACAACACGCAACTACGACTCCAAGCTGCCACCCACCCGCTTTCCCACGCGCTCGCGCTGCATATCAGGCGCCGACGTCTTGGTCGGACCTGATCCAAAATGTGACAGTGCAAACTGCACAGGGTCTGAGGTGAGGCTGGCCACGCTGCCGTGCCCAATCTCGCCTGGGCGCAGTCGGCTCGCCACTCGTACTCCGCAGTAGTCAGGTCCTCAAGCTAGAACTTGCCGCCCACGTCATCGCTCCTCGCGATCTCGAGTCGGCCGATCGCCGACTGGCTGATCGCGTTGTGATTCGCCCACGCGCTGCCCTTCGTAATCTCCAGGTGGAACTGGCCCATGATCGGGGCGTCCAACTCCGTCAGCCAGAATCTGAGCCTGTCCACGGGCGCTGGCAGGCTGAAGCCCAGCGACTTGCTGCCCGCATGTGGGTCTGTCGACATGGCGGGCCGCAGGCTCGCCATTCTGTGGGCGCGGTTGATCCTGGGGCAGAACCTCGGCAGCAGCCTCGTCGACAGCGAATGCTTGACCTCGAGAAAAACGATGATCTTGGCGAAGATCTTACCGACGCTTTGCACTGCCGGCGGACAGCCGGCCAGGTCGGGCATCGCGTTCTCCGCCAAGAACTTCACCCACGTTGAAGCCGAATGGTCTGGCGCTGCCTTCCGTCACGCGCACTGCGAAAAGACGCGCCCCACGTGAAGGATGTAGCTGCAGCCCTCCGACTCTGACGAAATGAGCCCATGGTCGTGAATCCCGACTCATGTGAGAGCGCCATCCCGGCATCGGCCGTCAAACCGCGCGCGGGCTTGACCATCGGGCAAACGCTGCGCGACGAGATCTACTTCTGAACGTCGCGCTCCATCCCCGGCCAGACGAACTGCGTGGAGAACTTGGCCAAGGTGTCCTCCGCGGAGCTGCGCATGCCCATGGTATCGCTGTCGCGGCAGTAGGAGTAGCAGCGGCCTTCTCGGCGGCAGCCCGTGCGACCTGCCGCTGCGCCGACGTGCTCGGACGCCACCGCGGGAGACGACCAGCCTCGGGGCCGAACTCAACGACGTCGAGCCCCGCTCGCCCAGGCAGAGCAGCGCGCCCCGGCATCCGTAGCCGCCCATCATGCGGAGCGCCGCTGAGCAACGACTCGCGCGGCCAAATTCGCAACCAAGACTTTGTTTCATCTTCTCGTTGGCGACGGCGAGGTTCTCGTCCTCGAAGTGGCGAAGAAATTCATGGGCGCCGTAGATATCAGTCAAACCCGCGTCCTTCTGCGCAAGCGAGACGGCGCGCTGCGCTGCAGACGGGCTCGAAGGCATCAACTCGGTCAGCTCGTCGAAAGCCTTCGGCGCGGGTGGCGCAGATGGAATATCATATGCAGCAGCGCCTCCACCCTCAGCAGCACGCCGAACCTCGACTACGATTTCGCGCCGCTTGTCCAGAGCTCGCTGCAAAGAAGACGTCGTCGTGTCCTCGTCGACGTCGATCTGTCGATCTCCTCGAAGATCTTGCCAATCCTGGCATCCATGGTCTTGCGGTCCTACGGGTTCTTCGCTCAACCGGCCCCCTCTCGTTAGCTGGGAAGTAGAACGGGCTCGCCTTCATGATCTCGACTCGCACCTGAGGCTTGGCAGAGTGATCGTCAGGAACCGCGGCAGGTCCAGGTGCACCAGGTGAAGTGGCATTGCTCAAACAGTTCCATGACGTCGCTGAATAATTCGGCGCTGCCCCTCAGCCGCGAAAGTGCTGAAGGGCGTGCCCGATGGGGCACGGCCAGCGGCGCCCTCGGCGGTCAGATTGTTCATGCAGCGGTTTCTGAACAGAGCAATCCGCGCCCACCAGCCAGTCGCGTTCAGCGTCGCGATGAAGCCCGCCACGATGCGTTCGCAGAGCGCCCAAGGGTACGGAACCGATCTCCTCGCCATCGCGACAATCAACATGACCCGGTGCTCCGCGCGGCTGCGCAGCCGCTTCTGGCTCGGCGCCCCATCCTGCCAACGATCGCTGCGAGCGACCTCGAAGCCGCCGAATAATATCACGCAGGCGCACTCGAGCAAAACGCCAAATACAGCATCATCGGGTTCTCGAAACAAAAAGCGCAGCGCCCATCGCCATGAGCAATATCGCAGTTTGCTGTAAGAGAGCCACTACCTGGTTCGTCTCGTCTTCATATGGACTCCCTAGGGGCCGAGCCTTCTCTGGCAGCGTCTTCGCGATGCTAAAACTGGCGCACAGGATCGGGATCGCGAAGTGGTAGACGTCGCATGGGGCCCTCGTATCGCTTGTGCTTCCACTCGCGCTTCTCTGGGCTGAGTAAGTCCATCCGCAAGTCGGTGTCGGACTTCTCGGCGGGGCCGCCAGCTGCTCCCCGGATGCGCGATAGCACCGCGCCGGCCCCCGCTCGCGGACTCCAGTCCGCTGCAAAAGTTGCTCGGCCTGCGGTCCTTCAACGGCCTGCCCCGCCGCTCTCCAGGGAGCGGACCCACCCCGCCGCCCGAGGTCTCGCGCCCGCAGCATCGGTGAATCTCCGCGCCGTTCGGCAGTCGACGCGCGAACTCGCGAGCATGGCAGAGCTGCTCGGCGGACTTCAGGGCGTCGCGCACCGGTCCTCCAGACGCCGCGGCTCTGGATATCCGGGCGCCCAGGGCCAGCGTGGAAGGCGCGGCCCACGAACGGATCGACGCGCCCCCCGAAGCAGCCCGCGCCGCTGAGCGGACCCAAGCCAACCGCTGGCCCCACCTTCTAGCTCTCAACTGGGCGGTCCAGCGCCGCCTCCGCGTGGGCCCAGGCCTGGTCCTCGGACTTCTAGCGCCCTGCAAGCGCCCCCCCGAAACCCTCGGCGACCCCGCTGAGCGCGCGCCCGTGCCAAATCGCCATGTAGGTCGCGCCGTCGTCGCGCGCCTGCGGCTGCCAGTAAGTGGCGGTGGAACTCCCGCCCCGGTCGACGCTGACGCGCATGGCCCGGCGAGGAAGAACTCAAGGATCGCAGAAGGGGCATCGGGCCAACTGCTGGAGCCCCCGCAGCCGCTGCCTCGACTGGCAGGAAAAATGCGCGCATGATCATCGATTGACTTAGGGCGCACCTCGAAATCGCCCTACTCGGAGTCCACGGTAAAGGGCACCAATCTGCACGAGGTTGCTGCAACGCTGGGGTCGCCGCGAGCGCAAACAAAAACTGAAGACTAAAACCCAATGAGGGGGCCCGGCTCGGAGTCGAAACGCTC